AATGTACTGGGCCTATTCGTCGGTTTGGGGCAATCGGAATCGCGGTTAGCCAGTCGCCGGTGCCGTACCCCGTCAGTGAGAACAAGCGCTGCGTGTGGCCTGAGAGTGGGTTCGGTTTCATGCGCCTCGTGGCCTGCACCTGCACGGCGTATCTGCTGCCGTGCACCTTCAAACCGAGTACGTGTTGTAGCCGAATGTCCGACCGCTTCAGTCGCTCCTATTCTAAAATTTCACGCGCGTCCCTTGGCAATGCGGCTTTGCATTCGGTAAGCCATGTGTGCAGTGGTGTGGTGACGTCCCGTGGTAAGAGCATGTGATTCCTAGCTCAGATCAGGGCAGCAAATGGTTCTAGCGCGAGGGTGGAGAGAAAAAGCGCCGCCTGGGTGAAACTCGCCGTGTACCCGTATACACCTTCGACTAGTGGGTCTGTGAGGCCGATGCCTCCCGGTGATGGTGGCAGTGACGCCTGTGCCCATACTCGGGCCTGCTCGGTTTCGCACATGGGGACGCGGATATCGCATGATACTAGGAGTGCGATGAGTAGGTCCCGTCCCCACTGGCTCCAAATATCGCGAGGGAGTAGGTGGAGAGGTGTCGTACGGGTGAGATAAGCCACCCGCCTGGAGATGCAACGGGTGAGTAGCAGTGAAGCTACCTGAGGGTCGGCTCGTTCAAGGAGGTGTAATGGCTTCACCATTCCTTCTAGCTGGCTTGACAGGAATTTGGCTGCTCCTAAATCCGGCCCTAGATAGCTTCCAAGAAGCCGTACGCCTTCCCTCGAATACGGCACTCCGTGTGGAAGCTGCGCTGGCTCGACCGTTGACGCACTCCAGGCTGCACACTTATTCGGGTTATGTGCCAGGCCGATGTGGGCCAACCTGTCGGTAAAGAACGTGAAGGCTGCTACAGTTCGTTGTGTCTCCCCCAGAAAGGTGATGTCATCGGCGTACGCCAGGCAAAGCACGTCCGGAAATGACTCGGCCGTTCTGCGGAGTATGGGGTGTATCCCTGCTGCAAATAGTAACGGGCCGAGTGGGTCGCCATGGCGAATGCCGCGTTCGCTCTTCAGTGGTTCGTTGCTGAAATTGGCATCGAGATTTAGCAACGACGGGTTACCGTAGGTCAGGCGAACTATCGGCAGCAGTGGCGATAGGCCGGGCTCTTGTAATGCTGCTGCGATGGCTTGGCGTGAGATACTGTTGAAGGCGTTCGATATGTCCGCTTGCAGTACCAGGCTGTCGGGACGGGCATAAAAAAACGCCCTGGCTGCGTGGATTACCGCTTCTGCTCCTCCTGGCACTGCCACTCCGTATTGAAGGGGTAAAAAATGTTCGCGGGCAGCTTCCCCTATGGCTGCAAGGGCTGCTTTGGCTGCCAGCCTGGTCAGACACTCTCCTATCGCGATTGGTCGCGCGCCACCTCCAGGTTTGGCCAAGGCAATGAGACGTGATGCTGTTAACAGGTTCGCCACTGAGCCTGGTAAATTTCCCCCCAGAATCGTGTTTACCAGGGCGTGGAGATGGGTGCAGATCTCTCTCTCTCTCTCTCTCTCTCTCTCTCTCTCTCTCTCTCTCTCTCTCTCTCTCTCTCTCTCTCTCTCTCTCTCTCTCTCTCTCTCTCTCTCAAGCAGTCTTGCATTGATGTATGTATAGGGTACAAGCAAGCAATGGCAATCCTAGCAAGCAGTTGGCCTAGACATGCACTGTCAAGAGACTGCATAGTCCCATGAGGAGCCTATGTCGGGCCGGCTCGCCATGCTTAATTGCCTAGTAGCCACACCTGTCCCTATTGCCACCTCATTGCTGGCCTGCCTGTCCCCCTGCAGGTCACCTCACTCCTTCCCCTATCCTGCCCAGCCGAGACGCGCCCTCCTCGGTTGGGCGGTCCCATATGGGGCTACCTGGCCCTCTACTCCCCCAAGTCGATTAGCTGGGCCAGGTCATCCTCGAGGACCTGCCAAAGGTTCCCGAGGCTTGGTTCCCGCGGGTCCGCGGCTGCCTGGGGGTGCGCTGCCTCAAGTGCCCTGTTGGACTTGGCCATCAGGGCATTTGCCTGGCAGCGCTGGAGCATCACCGACCAACGCTGCCGGTAATGCGCCGTGAGTCTGGAGGCTACCGCGGTTAGCCTCCCCTGTCTGTGCTTCCTCTTAGCCGCCTGGGTGCCGAGGAGGCAGAAGAACCGCTGGGTGTCCCTAGCAAGGGCCCCGTAAGTCTCCACCGCCAGGCCAAACACCCCGACAAACCCTGGGCGTCCCTCGTACAGGCCCCGCTTCACTCGTGCCGCATCCTCTGCCGCCCATCCTGGTGCCTTTACCGCTCTCTTATCGCGCCGCTGCAAGACGGGGTCCGTGACCGTCACGTCAGTCACGTAGGTCTCGTTGGACTCCTTGTCGCGGATCACCACGTCTGCTCGCTTTTGGTTGGTTATGGGCGAGAAGGCGGCTGACTCGTACAAGGTGGTGTAGTCCGCTTCCTGAGCCATACGGAGCACCGCGTACGCCAGAGCGTTGTGAGTGTTAGTCCTGTCCCCTCCATCGGCACACCGCAGTAGGTGGTTGGGCAGGCTTCTGTCCCTAATGTCCGACCGCTTCCCCTTGCACGGGCATTTGTCCGTGACTGCTACTGGGAGGCCCAGCCGGAAGCCGAGCGCCACTGCAAACTGTCCGGGGGAGAAGGTGAGGTCCCCCCTTGTGGGAATTGCATGCAGCCAGTCTCCCGCCCCCACCCCTTGCAAGCTGATTAGCCGAATTACGTGCCCGTTGTCGGCTCCGGGCTTGTCTGCCCGCGTGTCCCCCACAAGCTCGGCCGCCCGGTCCAGGTTGATGTGTTTGGAGAGGATAAGTTGTAGGTGACCCGTCACCTCCCCCTTCTGGTGTTGTGCTTTCAGGATCTCCCTCGCCTGGTCAGGTAGTCGGTTGCGCAGGTCCAGTAGCGTTACCTCCCCTGCCGCTGCCCCCTGGACCCCTCCCATTGGTGACACCAGGTCCGCCACAAGCTGTAGCGGGTTGTCCGGCGTCAGCGTCATGTGTCTGAGGAGAGTGTTGGCGGCGTGTAGGGATGCCAGGTACGCGGCTGGTGCCTCCGAAAGCGGGTCTATCAGCCCCAGCCCCCCCAGGCAGACCGGTAGCGTGGCCTGGCGCCAGACTAGGCTCTGCTCCAGCTCGTCGACAGGTGCGTGCATCTTTGCCGCTTTGAGTGCTGTCCACAGAAGTTCCTCGCTCCAGTCCCTCCATTCCACCAGAGGAAGTGTGTCAGCCGGGGTGGTTCGGAGGAGGTAGGAGATGCGTCTTGACACACACCTCGAGAGGAGGAGGAGTGCGTGCTGTGGGTGCAGTTTGCCGATGAGGGTCAATGGCGACGCCACCGTGCGCAGAGTTGCGCGGAGGGACCTTCTCCCGTACTCCCTAGTTCCGATCGGGCTCCCCAGCACCCGGATTCCATCGACCGCCGCCACCAGCCCCTCAGGGAGTACATCCGCGCATCTTGCTGGGCACCACGCTGAAGACTTCTCCAAGTTGCATCGCAGTCCGCACTTGCGGAGTTCCTCAGTGATGATCTGCACTCCTTTAATCGCCTCCGCCGGCTCGCTGATTATCGTGATGTCGTCCGCGTACGCCAGCACCACCGTGTTGGGACACCTCGCCGCTGCACTCAATAGGGTCGGTTGTATTGCCGCCGCGAAGAGCATTGGCCCCAGTGGGTCGCCTTGACGCACGCCCCGAGTGCTTTCGATGTAGCGTTCGTCGAAGCCCGGGTCCAGCAGGAGACGTGCCGGTTCGCCGTAGAGCGTGCGGACCAGGGGTAATAGCGGTTCGAGAGCTGTCCATTTGAGCGCTGTGAAGAAGCTCCCTCGTTCAACGGAGTTAAATGCGTTTTCGACGTCCAGTTGGATGGCGATGCGGCTCGGTTTTTCCGTCAGTAGTGCTCGGGTAGCGTGGATTACTGTCTCTGCTCCTCCGGGCACCGCCACGCCGAACTGAACCGGGAGAAAAAACTTCCGAATTTCTGGTGAGAGTTTCCGCAGCGCAGCTTTTGCCGTTAGCCTAATTATCGCTTTGCCGATGGCGATCGGTCTGACTCCTCCTCCTGGCTTCTCCAGAGCTATTAGCCTCGCCGGGAAGAGTAGATCTCTGAGGGTGTCACTGAGGTGGGAGCTCAGCACTGTGTTGATTACTTGGTGCAGGAGGACGAAGACTTCCCCGTTGAGCAGCGCAGGGTCGCGGAGGTGTTCAAAACACGTGCCTGACGGTCCCGCTCCAATGCCATTCGGGCACTTAGCTAATACTTCACGAAACTCCTCTGCCGTGATTGAGAGTGATGACGTGTTGTATCCGGTAACCCACCCTGGCGTTGCCTCCCCCGCGTGCGGATGTTTAGCACGAAGTGCAGCGAGCGTCGCAGAAGTTTGCTCTGCGAGGGGGGTTGACTGTAACGCCGCTAAGGCTTTCGCCATGTTTGCCTTCTGTACTAGGCCTTCCGCCCGTGCGCACATGCCTTCAGGGTCGGCTTGGTGTCTGCTGGGTTGAGGGTTCGGGGGGATGATGCATGCTTCCGAGAAGAGCACTTCCCACTCTTCTTCTTGAAATTGTTGGAGTCTCTTTTCCACACTGGCCCACCAGTTTCTCGGAACATTCTCAACTTCGGCTCGGAGGGTCAACCTGGGTAGGAATTGCAGGATTCGCCATGCTCCCGCGCAGCCTGGAACCTTCGTGAGTCGCAGCAGGGGGATCGTCATGCAGTAGGCGTAAACTCCCAGGATTTTGGGGGGCAGCTTCCGGAACAGGAAGGGTTGAGCACTGCAACACATCGGGCCCAGCTCCCACCCTTCCACCTGGCGCCAGATCTCCGGGTCATCAGCAATATCTGCTGGTGATCTTGCCTTGCTGGCAGTCTCGTTGGGTTGGGTGCCGCGTGACTCACCCTCGTTGGCATCAGCTTGGTTTCCTCCACTCCTTGCCCCACGATTTGTCCCTCCCGCCGGGATGCCCTGCTCATCCTCCAATGACACATCCTCTGAGTCCCCTTGTTCTTCTTCCATATAATCCTCATCCCCTTGTTCCTCGTCGTTATTCATTGGAGCTCCACTCTGTCCTCGCTCAGGCCTCCCGTGTCTTTCCCGCCAAGGACCAGATCTGGCCTTCTCTCTTGCCACGGCTGCAGCCAGGCCCCCCCGGCCTGCCCGACCGCTCGCACCCCGTACGCCGCGTCCTCTCCCCGCTGCCGGCGCCTGCCCTCTCGTTCCCGACGGCGGATTTCCTGCCGCCAGCTCCGCCGCCCGTTCTCGCATCACCCTCTGCCGAGCGGTTCCCCCTCGGCGCCTATCGATCGCGGTCACCTGCTCCTCCTCTACGGCTGCCGTCCCGTCCTCCGCCTCTGCCGTCTCCCCTTCAGCTCCGTCGGCTGCTTGTCCCGCGGCGCGTTCCGTTCCTGATGACAGGCCGGTGTCGGCCACCCCCGCGTGATGTGATCGTGGCGGCGGGGCCTCCTGCTGTTCCCATCCAACCAGCGGCCCAGGGCGGGCAGGTGCCAGCCCTGTTCCGAGCCGTCGCGGACTGCCTAACTGCAGGTGTTGGCGTCGCGCCCTCGGCGCCCCCGATGGCGACTGCTCGGCCGCGTGAGCCTGTGTACCGGTCTCCCCGCAGGCGCACCCATCCATTCCTTCGCGCGCGCGGGCAATCCTTCTGTCGCCGCCGCCCTCCTCGCCCGCCGTTGTCAGGCCAGGCTCGCCAACGGCCTCAGCTCCATGCTCCCGCCTCTCAGTCGTCCCCGTTGCACCTACCTCCTCCCGCGGTGCAATCCGCCTCGTCGCAGCAGGTTCCACCGGTTGCGCAGGCTCCGGCGCAGTCTGCGCCTCCTGTTCCTCTGTCGCGGCCATCTCTTCCTGATCCAGATCCTGAGGCGCCTCCCCAGTCGCAACCGTGTGACCCTGCCGCTCCATCCTCACGGGGCGATTCTGCTCCTCGATTGGTCGAACAGGCGCCTCTCCCGTCTGCGGCACCAGTGCCAGGCTCGGAGCCGCCTCCCCTCCCGCCGTCTCATCAGCCAGCCGTGCCTTCCTTGTCCGTGCCGACCCCTGCTGTGCCGTATGCGTGTTCGTACCCCCCTCGGCTGGATGTGACGGACTCCGCTCCTCCAGGCCCTCGCGGGCTCCCTTTCCCGGATCCCGCCTACTGCGGCCCTCGGCGCCAGCACCCCCTCGTGCCGGGGTCTCGTCCTCCTGGAGCTCGGTTTGGATTTGTGAGTCCACTCCCGTGATGTGTTCCCCTGGCTCGCCGCGTGCTGTCTTGCCCTGCCCTGCACTTTCCCGCCATGAATCACCGTGTCCCTGTTTGTCGCCCTTTTTCCCTTCCCCTGTTCCTGCAGCATCAGGCTGTGCCTGGCATCGCCCGCGGCTACTGGAGCGCCGACGAGGTGCCGGGCACCCCTCGCGACCTGGGGGTTGATTGGGATGGTTGCTTCTCGTGGCCTCAGGAACAGGACGGGGGGAACTGGGGCTCGGGCGCTCCTCCCCCGAGCCCTCCTTGGGGGGAGCCTTGTTATGGACAGGGGGATTACGAGTCTCGTTGGCGGCATCTTCAGGCGATTGGCCGTTGCGTGACTGAGCTCTCGTTCGTGCTTGACCTCCTGCACGACGCCCTTCTGTCTCGGGAGGTGGTGGCGCGGGATCCGCAGATGAATGAAGACCAGCAGGGTCGTGTGCGGCGGGCAGTAGAGAGCGCGCTGTGGGATGTCCTACATCTGCCACTTGAGCCCGGGGACCCTTCACCGGACGACGGACCTGGCGCTGCGGCTTTCCGCATGGTAGCCACGGCTGCTGAGGAGTGCCCGCTTGGCATCGTGCCCGCACTCGCGTGTTTGCTCCGGTGGCTTGGGCGGAGGATGAGGCGGATGTAGACGTCACCTTGGTTGATGCTTTGATTGGCTGCTTCTTCTTCCCCATTGGCGGAGACTTACCTTTGCCTAGGCCGGCGGGGCTTAGACTTGCATGCTTGTACTGCTCCGTGTGTAACTGTCGTCTTCCCCTTTTCCCTTGCCACCCCTAACGCGCGGCCGAAGGCCGCGCTGTCGAGCGTCGGCCGCCGAAGGCGGCCGGCGCGAGCCGCTGGGTTGGGGGGGATCCACACTCACCAGAGAATAATGAGTGGAGTGGAGGAACCAGGGGGGGATATATAGGCGGCCATACTGCTTATAGGCTCTTTGCAATGGCTACACTAAGGATACAAGGCTTAAGGAGCACTGAGGCTACGCTAAACTAAGTCTATAGTAGGCTAGGGAGCAGGGAGAGACTAAGGACTGGCCCTGGTGCCTCTCTCTCTCTCTCTCTCTCTCTCTCTCTCTCTCTCTCTCTCTCTCTCTCTCTCTCTCTCTCTCTCTCTCTATCTCTCTCGCGCGAGCCGCTGGGTTGGGGGGGATCCACACTCACCAGAGAATAATGAGTGGAGTGGAGGAACCAGGGGGGGATATATAGGCGGCGATACTGCTTATAGGCTCTTTGCAATGGCTACACTAAGGATACAAGGCTTAAGGAGCACTGAGGCTACGCTAAACTAAGTCTATAGTAGGCTAGGGAGCAGGGAGAGACTAAGGACTGGCCCTGGTGCCTCTCTCTCTCTCTCTCTCTCTCTCTCTCTCTCTCTCTCTCTCTCTCTCTCTCTCTCTCTCTCTCTCTCTCTCTCTCGAATGGTCCTTGCATTACTTTGAGGGGTGGTACAATGGAAGATGCAATCACACAAGCACAACAAACACCCAAACCAGCATCCTAACTACCTCAAGTCCCCTACCTACTCAGCCCCCCCCCCACCCCCCCCCTTGTCCGATTCTATTGGTCGAACGGGGCCTCGATCAATTGGTGCAGCTGTCCCTCACCAAGAGGGATGATGGGTCCTCTAAAGCCGAGCTAGTCCGCCGCCAAGGCCTCATTGGTCTTGGTGCGGAGGGCGTTGGCCTGCGCCCGCTGGAGGCACACGCTCCAGCACTGGCGGTACTCCGTCAGCAGCTTCGCTGCTTCATAGGAGGTAGGAGCTGCGTTAAAACGCAGCGTTGCCACCAGCTCCGCGCATTGCCGCAGGTAAGCCATCACCCCTGACGAGGGATAGCCGTACGTTTCCACTGCAAGCGCGTGGAACCCCACCCACGCGTTCCGCCGAGCGTACTTTTCCTCCTTTTTTGCTGCTGCCGCCCTAGCCGCCCATCCAGAAGCTCGGTTGCAGTTCTCGTCCTGGTATGACACCGGGTCCGTCACGGTCATGTCGCACATCCAAACCTCTCCAGTCAGGGGATGACAGATGGTGACATCCGCCTTTAGGTTTTCAACTTGAGAGTAGACATACGTCTCGTTGTGAACCGTAAACCCCGCCTCAGCCCCAATGTTCGCTATCTGATCCCGCAGAGCGTGATGGGTTGCGGTCCTCCCTTTTCCCTTCTCGCAGCGCATGAGGTGGTTGGGGAGGCGGTCGTTGGGGAAGGTGGTGCGGTAGCGGCAGTCACAGCGTCTAGGCACTGGGAGGGGGAGGCCTAGGCGGAAGGCAGCTGCAGTTGAGAGCTGGGATGGGCCCATCCGGAGCGAGGGGATGAGCGGGATCGCCAGCAGCCAGTCCCCCGCGCCTGGGCCTAGCACCGACTGCATCCGTTGCGCGTGGCCAGAACGGGGGTTGGGGCGCATCCGTCTTGCCTCGCCCATGACTCTCAGGAAGCGGCGGGAGTGAACCGCCAGCGCAAGGCTCTGCTGCAGCTTCAGTCCCTTGGGGTCCGTCTTCCTGGCCTGGAGCACCTTGAGAGCCTCAGGGGGGAGAGCTGCCTCAGCCGCAACGAGGCGTGAAGGCAGTGCGTGCGGAGAGCCGTGGGTAGGGTCCAGTAGGGGGAGGAGCGCGGCCACAGCAGGGTGCACCAATTTCATTTAAACAGGCCGACCTCGGTGGTGATGCATGCAGTGCCCACACTTTCCACGTGAGGGAGCTGCCACCGCTGGCAACATTCCTCTGTGCTGGCAGCATGTAATGATGCTGCCAGCGTCGTTTTGCTGCCAGGAGCGCATGGATGCTTCCAGAACGCTGCTGGCAGCACGTTGGCAGCGTGAGGGCTGTCCTCTATGAGGAGATGCCTCATAGAGGAGCGGCTCGGCACCTGTGGATGGGGCACTCTGGCTGGGGGGGGTAGTCGGGCTCTCACTTCATTTCGTGCTCAAGGAGGTTGAATACTCCGTCTCAACCTTGCTCTTGGCAAGCTCTCTAACCATGCGCAGCAAAGTACCAGTAGGCAAGTCCTCACCTCGTCCTCACGTGCAGGTTAATAACTACGGGCGAATTAACTCGCCCGGCGATGACATCCGTGTAGCCATGGCGAAGAACGCGAGCAAGGCGGCAAGTCCTACCGCCGCCTCCGGTGCGAGCTATGACGGGGACGACGGAGACGAAGCGAACGGCGACGACGCCAAGGAGGATTGGCCGGAGAACGGCCACGACGACAGCGCTTCAGGCGACAATGTAGGTCCTGCTGACATCGAGGAGGACGACTGGTGGAATCGGCCGGTCGGGAGCGACGACGAGGTGGAAGAGTGGCATGTTGGTGATTCCGACAACGACGGAGGTAAAGATGCGCATGGTGACAACGCGTAGGCAGCGGCGGATGCACAGGAAGCGGCGGTGGATGCGAATGAGGAGGCTGACGACGGGGCGGGGGCGGAACTTGAGACATTTGCGCCTGCGGATGCGGCCGCAGTTGCGGATGCGGAAGGCGAGGAAGGCGGCGATGACTGTGAAAATTTAGAAGAAAGAAGAGGGTTGAACTAGCAAGAATGGGGATACAAATAGCAAACCCTAGAAGGGTTGTACTCGCTATGGAGCACCCCACTACAGGCTAGAATAATATTCAGACACACCCCCATAGCCAAAGTGGGGTGTAATCAGCAGAGCAAGCAAAGCAGTACAAGCTCAGGGTGGATCACAATGTCACCACACATTCTGAGCACAAGTTCAAGAAGCAATAGTTAAAGTTCACAATTATGAGCAAAGCTAGTGGTAGTCAAAACGGGCAAGTGAAGAGGAGGAGAGAGAGTGAGAGGAGAGGAGATAGGAGGCGACGGATGAAGCTGCAGACACACGGGCAACAGGAGGCACACTGGCACAGCGGCTACCGGAACAACGCTCCGGAATACTGGAGTAACTGGCCCCGCGGCTAAAGTAGCGGCAGACGAGCAACGGACCCACGGGCGGCTGGCACAGCTGGCTACGACTGGGCTACCGGACGAAGTCCCCGGAATACAGGTGCTGCTGGCGACACGACGGCAACCTCCATTTAGCTTCCCCAAACTATCCCACTCCCTCTGGCACACACCCACTGCTACACCACTAGGGTCACTCACACCCCACCCCCTAGCACGACTCCGTCGACTCCCACACACCCACCCCCCTCAGCGGCAGCTGCAGCAGTGGGAGACAGAGGAGGAGGAGGAGCAGGAGAGACCACACACCCGCCACCCCCTACTCGCCACCCCCAAACCCTAACACTGGGCAGGGCGGGATGGCGGGTAGGGAGGTTACGGGGGGGGGGGGGGCCGACGCGTGGCCTCCCTGGGCGCCAACGTAGGAGGCAGAAGGGGCGACGCTCGCCCCCACCCCCACGTCGCCCCTCCCGTCGCCCGTACGCGGCCCCCTTAGGTCGCCTCGACAAGCGACGGGAAAAGAGGGGGGGGGGGGGGGGGGGGGGGGGGGGGGGGGCGGTGCACGTGCCCCCGGTGCGCCGCGGCTGACGACGATGCATGGCCGGGGCCGCAAGTGGCGGCGACGGGGCCGCTGGCGGCGACGACGGGGCCGATGCGGGCGGGGACAGGGTCGTCGCGAGCGGCGACGGGGCCGCTGCGCGCGGCGACGGGGTCGCTGCAGGCGGCGACGGGGCCGCTGCGCGCGGCGACGGGGCCGCTGCGGGCGGCAACGGGCCCGCTGCGGGCGGCGACGGGGCCGATGCGGGCGGCGACGGGGCCGACGCGCGGGTCCTCGTCGCCCGTCGCAGCGCCTCCCGAGGGCGACGCGCCGAGTGACGGGGCACAAGCCCGCCGCGCGCCTCGGGGCGCACAGCGGGCAGAGAACCGCCGCGCGCCTCGGGGCGCACGGCAGGCAGAAAACCGCCGCGCGCCTCGGGGCGCACGGCGGGAAGAAAAAACTGCCGCACGCCACGGGGCGTGCGGCACAGCGAGTAGCAGTGGCAGTTGCAGCGGAAGCAACGAGGTGGTGAGCCCACCCACAGGATCGATCCAAGGGGATCGACCTGCTCTGATACCATGTGAAAATTTAGAAGAGAGAAGAGGGTTGAACTAGCAAGAATGGGGATACAAATAGGAAACCCTAGAAGGGTTGTAATCGCTATAGAGCACCCCACTACAGGCTAGAGCATAAGATAACATTCTGACAACGACGACCCATGGAGCCTTGGGACCGACGACAACGTCCCGCTACTGAAGCGGAGGCTGCGCCATCGCCTACAGTGCAAGTCAAAGCGGGCCCGCGTGGTGCTCTCTGACGACGACGGTGCGGGGGAGGAGCGTCGCCCGATACTCACCGCTGCGGAGAAGGGGAAAGCCAAGGTCGCGGAAGCCCCTACTAAGGCCCCTGCTAAAGCCCCTGCTCGTCGCCGCACAAGCAACAAGAAGCTGACATCCGACGGAGACCCGGGATCCAGCAAGGGTGCGGCTAAGAAGAAGGCGAAGAAGGCGCTAAATCCTGAAGACATCGTCGTGAACGAGCCGCTGGGAAGCGACGATGAGTACGCGGCGGCGGCGGGCCCGATTCCCACGTTCCCTAGGAAGGTAACGCCGAGGGACCCCACCCTCCATAATCCCAACACCCGCCCACCTTCCCCTCGCAGCAAAGACACTACGAAGAAGCGCCGCAGTTGGACCGTGCGTGAGAAGCTTAAGTGGGCGCGCCGCTATCAGGAGCTCGGCTCCTTGAAGAAGACGAGCGTGGAGTCAACCGCGTCCATCGCCTGCATCTGACGCTGGTGTGCGGAGGCGGAAGCGGGCGTCTACAAGGGCGCGGCCAACTGCCGCAAGCGGATGCACGGGGGGGGGGGGCGCCACTCACACTACCCCGACATGGAGGCAGCGTTGTACCGCTACATCTGCCTCAGCGCGCTAACGGGGTGGCCATCTCGGTGAAGGACACCCAGAAGTGGAGCCGCGAGTGGATGAAGAAGCATTACCCCGACAAGAACTGGAACGCGAGCTCTCACTGGAGCCAGCGTTTCCGTGACCGCTGGAACCTGGTGATGCGGGTGAAGACCAAGGTCGGCCAACGTCTGTCGGCAGGTGCGTGTTGAAGGATTTCGTCTGGCACTCTATTGAATGCATGTACCTCACCCAGTGTCTAACCATCCCGTGCTTCCGTTGCGATTGTCCCGTTTGCAGAGTGCGCGAAGGACTGCGAGTCCTTCTGGAAGTTTGTGCGCATCAACAGGGCGCGGCACAAAATCGGCCCGGCCCGCATCATCAGCACGGACCAGACTCCACTATTCGTGGAGATGCCAGCCGAACGGACGATCGAGCACCAAGGCGCGCGCTCGGTCCCAATCCGCACTGCAGGCTACCAGAAGACGCGCTTGACGGTGATGCTCGCGTGCACTGCATCCGGGGAGAAGCTGCGGCCGTGGGTGTGGTTCAAGATGAAGAACGTCCCCAACTGTGAGATTCCGGAAGGTAAGCGAGCGTGAATTGAACCGTGCGATTGCCTGGTGAGCGTGCCCCACTGTGCTGATGCCCGTCTGTCCCTTGTATGCCTGGCAGGAATCGTGGTCCAAGCACAGGACAACGGGTGGATGGACGAGAGCGTTGTGCAGACCTGGCTGTCCAAGGAGGTGCTACCCCATCTGAACCCCCAGCGCGGCCAGAACGCAAGGCGGGCGATGCTGGTGTTGGACTCCTACCGCGGTCACATCACCCAGACCATGCTTCAGTCGTACCGCACGCACAGCATCACCCCTGCAGTCATCCCAGCGGGTTGTACGAGCCAGATTCAACCCCTGGACGTCTCCATCAACCGGTGCTTCAAGGCTGCTGTGCGAGCGCGCTACGCCAGGTGGTTCATGCGTGAAGGGATTCACCTGAAGACGAAGAAGGGTGAGTTGGTCCTTCATTTACGGTTTTATTCATGTTCTGTTTCGTGTCCTTGTCTTAAACATGCTCCTTCATATCCGTGTCTCTTACATCTCGCTGCCCCGTCCTCTGTCCCACCCGCAGGGAACCTGCGGAGGCCTCCACACCCCGTGGTGCTGCAGTGGATCGCGGAGGCTTGGGATCAAGTCCCCAAGCAGATCATCATCGACGCGTTCCGCCACTGTGGGATCTCGAGCAAGCTAGACGGAACAGAGAACCACCTGGTGATGTCTCACCTGCGCGCCAGGAGCACCACCGATGTCTCCGCGGACATGTCTTTCGGGGGGACCACAGGCGACAACACGCGCCTGCTCGATTGGGCTCCAGAGGAGGAGGAGGAGGCGATGCAGGCGGAGGGCGTGCGGGAGGTGGCCGTGGCAACCGGCCTGGAGGTGCTGTACCAGGAGACCCCCAACTACCGCGGAGCGGCGGCCGAGGCTGACCGCATGATCGAGCCTAGGGAGACGGCTAGGCATGCCTGGCGAGTGCCAGACCTGGGTGTAGAGCCTGATGTTAGTGCAGGTGAGGAGGCGGTGACTGAGGGGGTTAGGAAGAAGTAGAGATTCATGACTGTATGCATATACCCCCCTAAAGTAGGAAAGCTTGCTAAGAAGACACCCCCTGTTTATAAGAAAACCCCTAAACCCTGGTTCTGATTATAAGACATATGTGTCTTAATTCGTACACACAAATAGGTGTCGTATAAAAAGGCTAGCTTGTTTATAAGAGACACCCGTATAGTAGACAACCCCTGTCTACTATTCAACACTGTCTTATATCCGGGCGATGACGGTAGTAATATTTTTATAGTTCATAGTTGTGAACTTTTTCTCAAACACAAACCGTTAAATACTGACAACCTAGAACATGACAGAGCATCTTCACCATATCAAAGGTTGCACGTGAATCAGAGTATGGGCCAGGTTGAAGCAAAGAATGGAAGCAATAGTGAGACTGCCACGAAGGCAGGCAAGACAGCTCCGGTGGTCCCTTGGCACTTATCTCTGCTGTTCACTTCACTTCACCGGCTTCGCTTTGATAGTGGACAGCTTGGCGTTACTTCCAGCAGGTGACACGATGGCCCATTTAACTTTCAGCTTCGAAATATATGCCTTCACCCCTTCCCTCTCCAGTATCGCTGGGGTTATCTTTGAAATCTCATATCACAACCACCCCAAGCTCTCCTCTTAGTGCCCACTGCAACCGCTTCGCTTTGATGGCTGATGCTATTCCCAGCAGACGAATGCACCGCCCATTTCACACACATGTTTGCAACTTCTGCCTCTGCGATTGGACGACACGGTGCTTGACTCTGAGATCAGCGTTTGGATGGAGTGCAATAGGAAGCAGGAACAGGAGAGATGGGGCAGGGTGTGAAGTGATGGGATATGATGTCATGGGATTGCAGCTTGGCTCTCAGATCCGCAATCTGGATGGAGTGGAATGTGAATTAGGGATGGGTGATGATGGAGCGGGGGGAGGGAGTGGGGGAGGAATGGGATGGGATTGGATGGGATGGGGTAGCAGGAATGTTGAGCTAGCAGGTGGTGGGATAAGGTGGGGCACAATGTTGCCAGTCATCCCCTCTGTATCCCTCTCCACCCCCCACTCCATTCCCCTTCACAATCATCTTTACCTCTTCCTCTGTCACAGTTGTGCCATGACAATCAACACCCACCCACAGCTGTGCTGTCATAGCACCCCTGCTTCTTACCCTCCTCCTTCATCTCCTTGTACCTTGCTCAAGCACGCACCTGCCCCAGCACCCAAAACATCAAGCTCTGCCCCAGCACCCAAAACATCAAGCACCTGCCCCAGCACCCAAAACACGCGAGTCAACCCACGTGGAATGAAACGTATTTTTAGGCGGCTCAAAACTTAACCCACCTGTTTGTCCAATATCCTCTTCATTGCCATTTGAGCCGCTTCAAAACAGAGCTATTGAGGCACCTCGATGTTAATAAATCAGTATCATAAGGCGCACCACAACCAACCCACCTGGTTGCCTCTGCCAATCATTCGCTCCAAGGCCTCCTGCTCTGCCGCCCCTTGCTGCTCCACAAACTTCCTCATCTCTTCCTCCCTCACCATGTCAAGCATTGAAATAAGGTACGCTTGGTGCTGTGGATGGGGGGTGGGGGGAGGGGGAAGGGGGAGGCGGGGGCGGAGGGGAGGGGAAGGGGAAGGGGAAGGAGAAGGGGAAGGGGAAGGGAAAGGGGAAGTGGAAGGGGAAGGGGAAAGGGAAGGAGAAGGGGAAGGAGAAGGGGAAGGGTAAGGGGAAGGGGAAGGGGAAGGGGAAGGGAAAGGGGAAGGGGAAGGGGAAGTGGAGGGGGAAGGGGAAGGGGAAAGGGAAGGGGAAGGGGAGGGGGAGCGGGGAGGGGGGAGAGCATGGAGTAGAGAGGCAAAATGAACAGATGGACTCTGTCCTCTTCCTCCCTCACCGCACACGGCACGTCAAGTATGCATGCGAATGTGATCTGCGCTATGTTATGGATCGATAGAGTGGGAGGGGTGGAAAGGGTGGAGGGAAGGGAGGGGGGAGGGGAAGGCAAAGAGTGGGAAACAAGGCGGGGCAAAGAGGGGTGCAAATATACCCTTGCATGCGTGACTAGGTGCGTAACAAGACTATTGAGAAATCTCACGAGTGACAAGAGTGACGAATGCGGATAGGGGGAAGGGGAAGCGGGGTTGGGGGGAAGGTAGAGGGAGAGGGGAAGGGGAGGGTGGAGGAGGGGAGGTGGAGAGAGGAAGAGGGTATAGATGGGTTCTCTCCCACTTCTCCTCCCCCTCATCCCTCACACCATACACCATTTCAAGCATGAGAATGCAATTCAAATGGTGCTGTGGATACTAGGAGGGGAGAGGAAGAAGAAGCAGAGATAAAGGAGAGAAGCGTGTATGGTATTGAGAATGGAGCGAGGGGGGGATGGGGATGGAGGGGAAAGCCAGATGGGGGTGTGTGGGAGGGGAGGTGGGGGAAGGGGTAATTACAATTCTCTCCTCGTTACCTTCACGGTAGCCTTAGCCTCTTCCAGTTGCGACGACGGCTCAGCAATATGCTCGGACGCCAGCGCCAGCTCAGCGCACTTCTCTGCCACGTCACCCTCGGCCTCCGCCACCCTGGCAGCCACCTTTATGCCACGACATCCCTCCCCCTCCCCAACTCAGCCCCATCCATCTGCCTCTGCAATGCTCTCCCTTAACCCGTCAATCCACTCTGCCAGAACCCCCCTCTCCTCTTCCAATGCCGCTTTACTGCAAGGGGTGGTTTACTTCCTTCCAAACACGCTACCAGGTCCTGCAACCCCCCAATCTCCTTTCCCTTCCCACATATAACTTTCTCTTTACATTCAAACTCTCGTTCGCTTCAGCCAATCGCCCATCCATCTCCTCTCGCTATGTCTCTATTGTTGGCCACAGATTCAACACCAGGTACCGAGGGCCCCCGATTATCTCATCCTTCACTCTCAGAGTACTGTCTGTCTCAATCAGGCTCTTGTGTGCATTACCGAATCTAAACTCCAGCTCTGCAGCCCTCTCCTCTTGCTGCTCCACATACCCTTCCCGTTTTCCCGCAACTCCACCTTCACCCCTTTCAACTCCTTCTCTACCCTCTCCAACTCCTCCTTGCTTCCCTTCAGTTCTATTTTGCTACTTCCCAGATCTTTCCTCACACCTTCCAGGTCCCTTCTTGTGGCCCCCAGGTCCCTTCTTGTGGCCCCCACATCCCTGATACTACCCTCTAGCTCACCCCTAACTCCCTCCAATTCTCATTTCTTCATCTCTACCTCTCGTTGCACCTCACTCAACTCCCCTCTCGCACTTATCACTTCCCCTCGCTTCTTTTTTTGCCACTTCCAAATCCCCTTCCCTCTCCTCTGGTTCCTGCTTTAGCCCCTTCTCCCTCTCCCCTCCTCCCTTCCTTGCTTTATCCGTCTCTTTACCGCCCTCCTTCCCTCTATCTCCCTTTCCTTTTCCACTCTTCCACACTCCCCAATCAATCTCCCCGCCTCGTCCCTTGCCATTTATACCTGTGCTTCTAGCTCTCTCTCTCTCTCTCTCTCTCTCTCTCTCTCTCTCTCTCTCTCTCTCTCTCTCTCTCTCTCTCTCTCTCTTGAATGGTCCTTGCATTACTTTGAGGGGTGGTACAATGGAATATGCAAACACACAAGCACAACAAACACCCAAACCGGCATCCTAACTACCTCAAGTCCCCTACCTACTCAGCCCCCCCTCCACCCCCCCCCTTGTCCGATTCTATTGGTCCAACAGGGCCTCGATCGATTGGTGCAGCTGTCCCTCACCGAGAGGGATGATGGGTCCTCTAAAGCCGAGCTAGTCCGCCGCCAAGGCCTCATTGGTCTTGGTGCGGAGGGCGTTGGCCTGCGCCCGCTGGAGGCACACGCTCCAGCACTGGCGGTACTCCGTCAGCAGCTTCGCTGCTTCATAGGAGGTAGGAGCTGCGTTAAAACGCAGCTTTGCCGCCAGCTCCGCGCATTGCCGCAGGTAAGCCATCACCCCTGGCGAGGGGTAGCCGTAAGTTTCCACTGCAAGCGCGTGGAACCCCACCCACGCGTTCCGCCGAGCGTACTTTTCCTCCTTTTTTGCTGCTGCCGCCCTAGCCGCCCATCCAGAAGCTCGGTTGCAGTTCTCGTCCTGGTATGACACCGGGTCCGTTACGGTCATGTCGCACATCCAAACCTCTCCAGTCAGGGGATGACAGATGGTGACATCCGCCTTTAGGTTTTCAACTTGAGAGTAGACATATGTCTCGTTGTGAACCGTAAACCCCGCCTTAGCCCCAATGTTCGCTATCTCATCCCGCAGAGCGTGATGGGTTGCGGTCCTCCCTTTTCCCTTCTCGCAGCGCATGAGGTGGTTGGGGAGGCGGTCGTCGAGGAAGGAGGTGCGGTAGCGGCAGTCACAGCGTCTAGGCACTGGGAGGGGGAGGCCTAGGCGGAAGGCAGCTGCAGTTGAGAGCTGGGATGGGCCCATCCGGAGCGAGGGGGTGAGCGGGATCGCCAGCAGCCAGTCCCCCGCGCCTGGGCCTAGCACCGACTGCATCCGTTGCGCGTGGCCAGAACGGGGGTTGGGGCGCATCCGTCTTGCCTCGCGCATGACTCTCAGGAAGCAGCGGGAGTGAACGGCCAGCGCAAGGCTCTGCTGCAGCTTCAGTCCCTTGGGGTCCGTCTTCCCGGCCTGGAGCACCTCGAGAGCCTCAGAGGGGAGAGCTGCCTCAGCCGCAACGAGGCGTGAAGGCAGCGCGTGTGGAGAGCCGTGGGTAGGGTCCAGTAGGGGGAGGAGCGCGGCCACAGCAGGGTGCAACGAGTCCTCCTGAGAGTGCAGTAGGTGGGCGGCGCTGATGACTGAAGCAAGGTAGGCGTAGCTGCCTTCAACGGCGGGGTCAGTGATGCCCAGACCTCCCAGAGTCACTGGCAGGGCCACCTGCCGCCAAATCCTCCGCCTCTCCCGGGCACTCCTCGGGCTCATGATGTGGGCCGAATCCAGGAAGGTGTGTAGAAGCTGTTCCCCCCAAGCAGACCATTCCGCTTCAGGGAGAGCTTCCAGGGGGGTGGTTCTGGCCAGAAAGGATGCTCGGCGGCTGACACAGCGGGTGAGGAGGAGGAGACTAAGCTGGGGGTCCATCTGGGCCAGCACAGGGAGTGGGGATGCTGTTACTGCCAATCTCTCTCTCTCACTGCGCCTGCGCAGCCCCGGGGTGTGCCAACCGGGCTGCTGAGAATCTGCAAGCCCTCTTCAGAGATAGTAATGCCTGGGGGATAGAGGAGGGGTCGATTGGTGCGGCGGACCACGCCGCGCACTTGGCCGGGTTGTGTACCAGGCCGAGGGCAGCTAGTGCAGAGGTGGTCAAAAGCCGCTGTGCAGGCCGTGGCGTCGCCGAGCAGCGTGATGTCATCGGCGTACGCCAGCAGGACCACATGAGGGTGTGCCGCCGCCGTGTCAACGAGGCACGGGTGGATGCTTGCCGCGAACAGGAGGGGGCCGAGCGGGTCCCCTTGGCGAACTCCTCTGGCGCTCTGCAGCAGGGCTGCGCCGAAGTCGTGGTCGAGGTAAAGCGAGGAGGGAGCCCCATAGGATAGGCGGACGAGGGGGATCAGATCCTTTAGCGCCTCGTTTCTCAGTCCCTCGAACACCGCTTTCCTTTCGACCGCATTGAATGCGTTCACGAGGTCAATCTGCAGGGCCACTGCAGCAGGGTGCACTTCCAGGTACGTACGAGCGGTGTGGATGGCCGCTTCGATCCCCCCTGCTACTGCTACTCCGAAACCGAAGGGGAGCAAAGTGAGTACGAGCGGCCGGCGCGGTCAGAAAAAGAGTGGCCTCTGCAATAATCCGGAGGAGACACTCCCCCACCGCGATCGGCCGCGTTCCTCCCTGGGGTTTTGTAAAGGCTAACAGGCGGGAGGCCGTGAGTAGTTCCCCCGCGAGTGTGGGGAGTTTTCCTACTAGAGCGGTGTTAGAGAGGGCGAGGAAGTGGGTGAGTACTTTGGCATTCCCTAGGGCTGCGTCGCGGATGTGCTCGAAGGTGGTTCCTGAGGGGCCAGCCCCGACTCCGTTGGGGAGCTTGGCGAGGAGGCGCCTGAAGTCGCGGGCTACGATAGAGGGTGGGTCTTCCACCGTGGCAGTGAAGAGCCAGTCAGGGAGTAGTTGGCGGGCAGATGGATGTCTCGCCGTGAGGGCTTCCAACACTTCAGGTGAGGCGGGTGACACAGAGGTGGCCTGGAGGGATTGAAGTGATTTTGACAAGTTACCCTGTTTTGCCAGTCCTTCCGCCCTTGCCAGTATTCCAGTTGTGTCAGGAGCGTGGCGAGGTTGCAGTGGTAGGGAAATCGCCTGGACAGCTTCTTCGTATAGGTCCGCCCGGAGCCCTTGGCAAAATCGCTGGAGCCGATTCATCATCGCGCTCCAGTCAGGTTTACGGGCTGACGAGGTGCGAAGGAGTATGCGCGGGAGAAAGGTCAGTAATTTCCACCCTGGTGGAGACTCAGGATTGGCCGCCAGGTGGAGTAACGGCGTCAACATGCAGATCGTGAAGGAGTCGGGAAGGTCTTTGGGGGGGTGGCGAGCGAGAGGAGGTTGGCGACTGTCGCGCAACGGGTCAAGGTCCCAGTCTGCAACCTGAGCAAACAGCTCAGAATTTTTCGCCAGGTCGTCAGGTTTGAGCATTGGGGGGGTTGGATTTGGGGCTGCAGAATTTTCATTGGCTGTTGCAGAGTCAATTCTGTCTTTTGTCGCTGCTCGATTTCCCCCCCTTGCACGATTTCCCCCCGCGGTTCGATTTCAACCTGAGGTTCGGTTTGCAGGTTCGCCTATGGCCTGCTGGTTTGGGAACTCCGCTTCCCGAAGCAGCAGCTCCAACTCTTCCTCGTCCTCCTCGGCCTCTGCTTCTAACATCCCCTCTCTTTCTGGGTTAAAAGCAGGGTCAGCCCCTTCGCTTTCTTCGTTCTCGACATCGTCCTCTGCCTCCTCGCTAGGCACCTCCTCGCCGCCTTCCGCGCCTTCACGCATTAGCCATTCTGCAGTTCTCGCGTAACCGCTTGCGCCAGTGCGGCGCCGATTTGTGCCTCGTGCTCCTCCACCTCTTCGTCCTCTCCCGTTCCCACGACGTCCGCGGCGGTTGCTGCCGCGTCCCACGCGTATTCCCCGCGTTCCTCTTCCTCCCGCAGCTCCCGCGCGCCTTGTCTGGGGCGCCTCATCCGTCGCGTCCTCAATTGGTCGGCGCGCTGGCGTCGGCTGCGGTGCTGTCGGGGGTGATGGATCCATCCGCGAGACGGGATACGGAGCTCGAGGGTTCCGCGGAGAGCGCGCTGCCGGAGCCTGTGCCTGCCGGTCTTCGCCCGCGTGTCCCTGCGCACCCCTCCGCAAGAGAGCCCGTCCGCCGCTTCGAGCGGGTGCTAACTCTTCCCCATCGGCCTGCTGCGCGCCCCACCTCGCCGGAGTATTCGTGGGCCCCTGCACGCGTTGCGTCGAACCGCCCGGACGGCCAGCCGCGGCAGGAGCGCGGGCGCTCGCCTCCGCGTTAGCTTCCGCAGCAGCACTCTCCTCGCCGCCCTTCTCCTGAGCATCGTGAAACTCATCAGCGCAGGGAGGGTGATCAGCGGTCCCCTACGCGTCCTCGTTCTCCTCGCCGCCCATCTCCTCGAGGTCGGGCAGGCCAGCGCTCACCCCGAGCGCGATCCCCCGCGCAACGCTCTCCGCGGCGATCTCCGGCGACGCGGGGGAGGGGGTCACTTGGGCGTCGCTGGGAGTCGGGTCGTCGCGAGCAGTCCCCTCCGCGTCCGCATTCGGCTGGTTCCGGAGGCCGACGGGGCCGGCGGAATGGTGGTGGGCGTGGCGGTAACGGTCGCGGGCAGGATCCTGCCCTCGATCGGGCCACGAGTGCGTTTGCGGAGGTTGTGCGTCAGGCGCGGGCGAGTGGAGAGCCGACTCACGTACACATTGAAGTGACCAACGGCCCTCCCTTCGCCGCGGATCCTCGCCAGGTGGCTCCTCTGCGCGCGCCGACGCTGCGCGAATGTCAGCCCGCGCGGGAGGTGCGGGCTCAGTTTCACACCCCTCATCAGGTCCCGGGCTTCTTTGCGTCGCGCTTCCCTGTTGGCCGAACTCCTGGCTGGCTAACGGCGTTTCCTCGTGAAGCCCCGACTGCACCTCCCCCCACTCACGCGGGGAGAGACCCCATGCTGACCATGTGCCGGATTCTGAATGTGGCGGAGGCGTGCGAGGTGGTGGCAAACTTGCAGCTGGCGGTGTGTGCGGCCACGCGGAACTTTCCGAGCAGTTACGGTTCAGGGTCCCGAGGATACTGCGTGTCTTTGGCAGAATCGCTCGAGTCGCCGTTGGCACCCGTGTCGGAAGCGCCTGCCGGGGTAGCGCCCTTAGCGCGTACCTTCCCCCGCCACGTGGGGGATCTTGTAGAGGCTGCTCGAGTCGGGGCCCCCGTGGGCACACTTCAGTCGTCGGCGCATCTCCTTCTTGCGATGTGGGCGTGCATGCGCTCGATGCTAGAGATGGAGGGGGCGGAGCTGTACACGATGTAGGCTTCCGCCGCGTGTAGAATTGCATGCCGCGCCACCTGCTCTTGCCCTGTTCCTTTGCCGCAACTACTGCAGCTCCGCATTCTCCCTCTCATGCCCCTCCGCCCGCTCTCTCAACCTTTCCCTCTCACTCACCCACCCAAGAGGTTTCAGCCCCCGTCTTTCTCAATCACTCAAGTCAAGGGGTTTCAGCCCAATTTCCACTCACTCACCAACCCAATTGCTTTCGCCCCCTTGAGCTCTCACTCACCCACCCAAAAGAATTCAACCCCCTTGCTTCTTATTCACCCACTCAAAGGGTTTCAGCCGCTTCCCATCCACTCACCCACTGAACGAATTTCAGCCCTCACAGGTAAGGCCAAGGGAGGGCGAGGAGAGGGATTCAAACTTTTGAGGCGCCTCATAATATTTCTTATGTTTCGGATAAGTTAATTTTTATTGCCCATAAGGGAGGGAAAGGGACAGGCGAGGAGAGGGATTCAATTTTTTGAGGCGCCTCATAAGGGAAAGGGAGGGGCGAGGAGAGGGATTGAAACCCCCCAGGTAAGGCGAGGGGAAGAGAGGGTGGGGGAGTTAGAAGAGGCAGAAGAAGGGAGTTTCACTGCCCCTTGCTCGCCCTGATCTCAAAGTCTCAATCCACCTTTCCCCCCAAACAAACGTTGCACCCCCCCAAAAGGAAGGTCCCTATCCATCCTGCACGATCATGGAACATCACGAGGAGAGTGTGGGCGTGGGGAGAATGCAGCGATAGTGTCACTGGCGGTCATTTCAGTCGACTCCAGTCCCAGCTCCTGGTGAACCACGGTAGCATGGAATTGTGATTATGGTCCTGACAGTGACTCGAGACCGGGCTTCTGATAGAGCATGGTAGGGGGGCGAGGGAGGATGGAAGGGGGAGCCTGCATGTATGAGGCGCATGATGAACAGAGCATGTGGGAGGGGGGAGGATGCAATGATAGTGTGTGACGTCACTGGCAATCAATCCACTGAGTTGAGACTTGGCTCCTCATGAGTTATGTGATGGGACAATGGAGGATGGAACGCCGAATTAGTTTTGAGGCGCCTTATAAAGGGGAGAGGAGGGGGGGAGCGGTGCAGCAGTGGCACTCGACATCACTAGCGGTTTTTCAACCGTCTCCACCCCACACCATCCCATCCCAACCCACCCCGTCCCGTCCCATCCCATCCCATAGCATCCCATCCCATCCCATCCCATCCCATCCCATCCCATCCCAACCCACCCCGTCCCGTCCCATCCCATCCCATCCCATAGCATCCCATCCCATCCCATCCCATCCCATAGCATCCCAACCCATCCCAACCCATTCCATCCCAACCCATCCCATCCCACGTGGCGTGTGGGGTGGATGAAGAGACCGTGGGAATGGAGGGAAGGGGGAGGGAGGGCGGGGAAGGAGCAGAGTGGAAGGGCGGGGACGGAGGGGAGTGGGAGGGCGGGGACGGAGGGGAGGAGGAAGGCATGGAGGGGGGCGGCCAGAAGAAGACCGAGAGTTTAGGCTGCTTGGCTTGGCGTCTGCTGGGAAGGTCACTGGGCAGCAAGGCAGCCGAATTTTAGGTGAAACGGAGCGGGCAGAGCAGACACGAGCAAAGGAACGGACAGACAGGTAAAGCATCGGAGTGCGAGTGAGCGCACCAACGCGGGTCGAGGGGGGAAAGTGCTTCGATGATGGGCTATGAATCCATAAGGCAGCATGGTGACTTCAATTCAGTGAGTCAAAGCGCACCTTTGGAGCCACACGACAGTGCGGCGAGCGAGCGAGAAAGCGAGCGAACCAACGAGGGGGCGATCGAGCAAGCCTACCGATGAGAGCGAGCGAGCGGCGTACCGACGCGCGAGCCGAAGGTGAGGTCCACCATGATGATAGCACGACCATCGACGCGAACACGATGGTAATCTCCATTCCGATCAGATCCCCGAGATTTGGAGCGGAAAAGTGGAAGCGACAGGAAAGTAAAGGTGGACCTCTTCTGGAAGAGTGGAATCGTCGGAAGACGCTTCTACGGGGCTGAGAGCATTTCGATGAACTGAGAAGACGCTTCTACGGGGAATGCTCTGATAACATTACAATTATTCTTGAAATATCCCATAAAGGTGTGTCTAACAATTTCAACACTTTCACATTCGCGTAATAAATGAGAGAACGGCATTTCCTAGGCTATTCAACTTATCAAAGATATAAATAAATGTTTCCATAATGGATGAAGAAAAAAGATTGCTCAATATATTATGATCCAGCTAAACATTCATATGAACGATTGCACCAAAAACCGTATCCCTTTGCCACTGCAAAGCAAAGCCCGCTGCTGTTGTGCGTCTCTTTCCTTCAGCCTTCTCGTTTCACTTCTCGCACCGCAATTGACATGCAATGCCAGAGGCATCATGGATTGCTATTGGTGGCAACATGAAACACTGTTGCTGATATGCAATGATGCATTGTAAGGTATTTGAAACATTCGTATTGGCAAACTATACTAGAGGGATGAAAAGAAGGTCTGAGGGAGCAACGAGGAATGAGAGTAGGAAGCGACCTGGAGAGCAAAGAGATCGGGGGGAGAGACGCGTGGAAGAGAAATTACTATTCAGCAAAAATTGCAGAGCAAGAAGGAAAGTACTTACTACAACCCACAAGTCTCTCGAAGTCAGAACAGTCAGAGGGAATAGAGAGAAAGCTCACTGGTGGGGGTGTGGAGAGCATAAGTGTTGAAGGTTGATTGGTTGAGAGGCGGGAACGGAGGCGAAACGGCAGGAAGGAGGAGAGTTATTGGCACAGAGCAGAAAGAATGTTGGAAAAGACGGAGTGAGAGGCAGATTGAGAGGCAGAAGGAGGCACTGGAATCATGAGCATTGACTGGCATTGCAACAAGGACGGAATGGAAACATAGTATATTTCCAGTACGTAAAAAAATGCAGAGAAGAGAAGTTATTGAAAGTCATTAGCAACGCATGTCAAGAACAAACCATGTCAACGGCAAGGCATCAGCTGGTGAGGTTCATAGCCAAAGGGAAGAATAGTGAGCATCAGCTTTCCCACAATGTCACTGAACTCACCTTAACCACTGCTCCCTTACTTCTCTCCTTCCCCCCCCCCCCCCCCCCCCCCCCCCCCACCCCACCCCCCGGGGCCAAAAAACACCCCACCAAACCGTCCCTTACTCCCATGCACAGCATCAGGTTGAGGTGATATTGACAAGAGCTATTGAAGTGATCATGAGCGGTTGATATGAATGACTCGGCAAAAACGTCATGAGGCCACACAAGTAACGGAAACTTTTACAGCAACGGGAAATGAGATAGGCATCACAAGCTGCTGAAATACAAGAGAAGAAAATAAATTAAATAGAAACGAAACGATGAGATACGTGGAAGTTATGGGAAGTAAGGTGAGTTGCTTCAAGACCGGTGCTCTTTGAGTATCAGAGACATGAAGCGAGAGGAACGGGAGTGGGTTTAGAGAGAAAAGATGTTGGGAGGAAGGGAGGGGGGTACTGTAGAGGGACTGAAGAATGTCACTTGCCGTTGGCCTTCCTTGTTGCCATTGACGCACTGCTGGCAGGTCTGAGGATTCGCCAACAACACCCGCCTCAGGGTGAGCGGAGATGATGCGGCTGCTGCTGGGCTGCTTGATCCTGCAGCCTTCACACCCACAGCGGCACTAGTAGTTGCACGTGTCGGCTTGGCTGGCGGCGTTGCCTTGGCTGGCGGCGTCCTAGACTCCTAGGTGGTGTCGCCTTAGCCTTGGCTGGCGTCACCTTGGCTGTCATAGCCTTTGCTGGCGAGGCCTTAGCTGGCGTGGTCTTGGTTAGTGGCGTGAAGGGCTGGCTGAATAGGTGGGGAGCGGTGAAGGGCCGGCTGAATAGGTGCGGGGCAGTGAGGGGTTGCCTAGGGTGAGACAGAATGACCCTCTCTGGCCCATTTATCTGCCCCTCCATGCGTCCATCCATCCGGCCCTCTCTGTACCCATCATCTCCCCATCCATCTGCACCTTCTTCTCAGCACTCACCTTCTCAGCACTCACACACCAACTGCCTATTGCTCCTCCTGCTCCAACTGCTCCAACTGCCACAGCACCCTCCCCCGCTCTGCCTCTGCCAGCACGCTCTTCGCATTCACTCCACATCCCCGTTGGTGAGGCAATGCAGTGCATGGAGAAGCAGTGAGGAGGGAGGTACGAGACGGAAGGATACTTGAAGGCGAAGGAGAAGAGGAGGGGAGAGGTAAACGCAAACACAGCCCCATCTTCGTCCAGAATGGAAACGGCCTTAATGCAACAGCGCTTGTTGCAGTTCAAGGGCAGAAAGGAAGAAAATCAATAGGGGGAGAAAATCGGTAGGGGGAGAAAATCAATAGGGGGAGAAAATCGATAGACCTGGAGCAGGGTTGAGGAAGGGGTGAGGGAGGGAGGGAGGTCACCATGTGAGGTTACCACAGTCGGTAACCAGAGAGAAACCACCTCAACTGTGGCACAGGAAAGCTTTGTGCTTGTACCCGTCACACGTACACCCCTGCCAACATATGTTATCACATAGCACCACACCCCACCACATGCAACACCTGCACTCATTTTGGTGAGGAGGCGTCAGGAGAGAGGCACGACCACGTGATTCCTGCCCACAAGCACTACCTCCCGAGATAGAAACAACAGCCCAGCTCATCCTGTACTCGCCCCGTTCCCCACCTTCTGCCACTCGCCCAACCCCCTTGGCTGGTCACTCCGCATACTCACCGTGGCCAAGCAGCGTGTGGAGAGAGCCACGACCAGCGTGTGGAATGCGGCACGTGAGCCAAGACCACGGCACGGTCGCCAACAACCAGAACCTGCGCACACGACGACAAGGAGTAGTTCAGCTTCAATCAAGAGAGACAAACGTCAAAGGTACTCATCGCAGAAGGACTCGGTTATAACTTACTG